TCTATTCTATTCCATTCTAATCCATTCCATTCTATTCTATGCTATTCCATTCTATTCTGTTCCATTCTATTCCCTTCCATTCTGTTCTATTCTATTAAGGTTTTCTTCCATGGAAAAGATGAAATGATCAGAAAATTTCTTCTTTCCCCTGCAGTAGAGCTTTGAACTCAAAATGGAAAGGATTGTTTCTGCTCAAGGTGTATAAGATGGTTAAGTATTTGGCATAACCAGAAACCTGAAAAACAAAGGTGAAAGTCCTTGCCAGCTACTAATTCTGCAGGTACTTACCTATGTGTACAAGTTAGGGCACCACATGGAGGCTGAATGGGGCTGTTCCTCAGATGCTATTAGAATCAAGTCATGAAGTTGTTTCTGCCAGCTGTCCATGTACTAGCAGCACTCAGAAATGCTGACTTGGTGTGCATATTTTCGTCGCTGCCATAAGAAGGCAAGAAACTGTCTTGTTGTCCTCGTATGTCTCAGAAATTGCTTTATGAGCGATGATCTGACTGTCTTTTCTTGGCAGGTGCAGCCCAGTAGCAAACAGCACCAAGTCTCCGTATACAGGCTGTATCATCAGCTCCATACCTGGTTTCTCGTCAGAACTCACATTTTTTGATGATACTTTTAATCGAATGCTTTGCCAGAGGGGCTTTTGAGAGTTTGTCAGTGTATTTTTAACCACATAAATAGAGGTCATAGGACATTGCTGTTATGTCCTGGGTACGAGTTGCAGTCAGCCAAGCCAATGAGGATGTATTTGATGAAGATGCAGATGAGATGTATCTACTACAGAAGGAATGGAACAGCACCATGAAAAAAAGATTGCAGGTATTTCTATAAAAATTATTTAATAGTTAGATTTGTTGATGTTAGATTTGCTGATGCATACCTCGATATTCATATGGGTGATTTAAAGGGAAAACTAAGACTGGCTGCTTGAAACTTATTGTGACTTAGTTGCTTCTGAATATCAGGAAAACATAGCAGGAATTTACAGAAACCCTACCTAGTAGTCATCAGAGCAAAGTACTGTTTTACCAAAAGACATCAGCTCCCTCTGGAAACCATGTGCATTTGTAAAAGGCAGTGCTAAGTTCTGATGCAAGCTATTTGCTTTGTACTTGTAGGCACACCACTAGTAAATGTAGGGCAGTACAGCTAAACAAACAGTGCTAATAAAGAAATAGGAGGTGTTTGAGGTTTTAAGATGTATGACTCCATGTGCAACCACAACTGAGCATTGCAGTCTGTGTAGTTCTTTGCTTGATTCATTATCCTAGTGAAAAATACATTTTAGGAAAGCTGGTTTCCACAGCCTTTGCCTCCCTGGAGTTGTACAGGGAGCAAAACAAGTACATAAACCCAAGTCAGTTCAACAGATACATTATCATTCAGAGTGGGACCAGTAGAGCTCGTCTGCTTGTGGGTGAGCAGTATTTGGCTGAAGAAGATGAATGGAAGCTGTTGTGCAGGCTGTTGATGAGGAAGGGTATTACAACAGAGCCATTGTATTATTCTCCAAGGAAGCTTCCTGCATCTGAGTCCCTTGTGAAAAGACTGGTTTTCTTAAGGGGCTGTTTAGTGTTCTTACACAAATCCCACTGGTATTTAAGAGGACATACTGAAAAATCATTAAGTCTTATTGAAGTTAGAGCTGTATGTTGGGCAACATAAAGAAATAGTTGTGTTCCTGTTTTTCTAGCAAGGCCACCAGTTTTCTTCTCTCATGAGCAGATAGGAGTTTTTACTCTTACAACTTGCAATTTTGGTGTCATAATGTGATTATAATATAAAGAAATTATTTTGCATTACAATCATTAGCTGTTTCTTACAGAAAGCAGTCACAATGTTATATGTGACTCAGGCCATCACTGTCTGGTTTTCTGGTATAATTCTTGGAGCAGTCACAATGTTATATGTGACTCAGTTCATCACTGTCTGGTTTTCTGGTGTAATTCTTGAATTGAGTGAGATCCAGCAAATAAAGAAGCAATGCTTCATAATTAGTTTTGCTAAAACAGGTAGATGGATTACAGACAGGAGGGTACCTCTGCTAAAAGTGAGGCTTTGCAGTCTGGGTATTTTTTAGATAGAAAAAGGTAGTCTATGTGTGGTATTCTTGAATTAATTTTTCATAAAGGAGTTGGTTATCATAAAAGCAAGCATGCTTTCCTGCAGATTTGTCAGATTTTTTTATCTCTCCAAAAATACTTATTTTCTGACCTTCTGGGGATCCTTTTGCAGAAGAACTGGATCTTACAGGTCAGCAAATCATAATGCATGCAAAAGGCATGTTTTGATTCAGCAGTGGGGGTGTAGCCATGAGGAATGTTAAAGTCTAGAAGCTGTAATTTAAGGGATTGAATACTTGTTTAAACTTTTTTTATTGTTATGCGTTTACCATATGTCCAATTTGTCATCTTATGAAGAACCTGTTTCACTGCTTTTTATTACAGGAAGGCTATAGGGATGGAATTGAGGCTGGTAAAGAACTTGCACTCCAGAAAGGCTTTAATCAAGGTTACAGACATGGTGCCAACCTGATGATTACATGTGGCCAGTTCAAAGGAACCCTGAAGTAGGTTACAAACTCCTTAAGGTCAAGTGTATGTGGAGGGTGTGTCCAAAGGGAACATGCATGCAGTTTTTTGTTTGTTTTAATTAAACAGAGGAAAAGTACATTGTAAGATTGTCCAAAATAAGCAACTGAGAATCATCTGGATTACTGGTCTGGAATACAGGGAATTGGCTACCTGGGTGTAGAATGATCATTCTTTAAAAACCTCCTTTAGTTGTTCTTCCAAAATTATCTGAATCTACATCTCTAAGATTAATATTCAGTTCTACTGCTTGAATTTTACATAAAACATGAATGAATCATAGATACTTTTGTATAGCATAGATATCTTGTCACATTGCTGTCTGCCTTCACCAACTGGGAGTCTGTGTGGATACATATAATCACTTTTGTTGTTCACTTTTCAGTGCTCTCTTATCCTGGTGCCATTTTAATGGACATGATTCCGCTTTAAGTAAGATAAATAATCTTCTTGACGTGCTTGCAAAGCATGAAGATGATGTGCTTAAGTATCTGAATTCTACTGAAGAACAGCCACATCTTGAACACATTTTAGACTCTGTTCAGGACATGGACCTTAATCACACAGCTTCAGCTGGGACAGAGGACAATGAAGCTAAAGATGGAAGACAGCAAGATGGTGGCAGCTGTGGTGAAAACATTTGTAGAAATAATGGTGAAGTTGGTTCCTTGCAGTCTGAGTGCAGCGAGGCAAACCTCTGCACAGATCCTGAAAGGTCAACCCTTGCTTGGGTTAAAACACAGATTGTTGGACTAGTAGAGCAACTGGGCTTACCATTGGATATACTCGATCATGTCCTGCAACTGGAACGTTAGTTTTCTGTCTCATGGTATTTAAAATTATCTCAGCTGGCTTTGATTTTCAGTTTGGGAACCATGTACAGGCTGATGTATCACTTTGGTTTAGGAAAATCTGATCTTGATACTTTCCAGTAGAAGTAATTTGTGTAAATCTTCACCGTGCTTTTGGCACCTGGCAAAATCCCTCACTTAATCTTAAATATAACCTCAGTCTTAAATACAACATTCACAGAAAGAGCCAGTGACTTTTAAAGCTCTTCAAAGATTTACTCAACATGTTTCTGTTCTGCATCAGAACCTATCATTTCACCATCACTCTCTCTTTTGGCAGCAGTTTGGAAATGAAGCAGGTACACTAAATAGCCACTCTAAATTGGTCCCCTCTAGTATCTAATGAAAAATGCCCAGTGCCATGGACAAGCTAGTCTTGCACAATAAGCTGATGATGATGATGTGCTAACTGTAAGCAAAATAGAACAGGATTTGCTGATGATTCCTAGAGTGCTGTGACACTCTCTCAAGAACTATGTAAAATATAGGGATGTTTCACCTTTTGTCAAATTCTTCCTCTTGTCTTGTGTAACCACTATGCAATGCACTTTCACAGTTAAAAACTATTTTTCCTCCTCATAAAGTTTTATTTATTTCACTGCATTCACCACCTCTTAGAAACACATAAGCCACACATGCATATTTCTGACCACTTGGTATTTCTGTGCCAGTGTTCCATATTTGACTTGTTTTCCTGTTGCCTTAACTGTAGCTCCTAATTGCTGTGTTTGGGAATTTTTTTCTTTGTGAATGCATATATCTGTTTAGCACTGATTAAACTTACTTATAGTAAGTTAAGGGTTTACTTGTTTTAAGTCATTTGGAATCCTCCTTCATATCTGAGACAAAAAAAGTCTAGACAAATTTTGAACAGTGATTAAACTTACTTATAGTAAGTTAAGAGTTTACTTGTTTTAAGTCACTTGTAATCCTCCTTCATATCTGAGTCAAAAAAAGTCTAGACAAATTAAAATTTTGAACAATCAATTTAACTAAAAATAAATAAATCGCAAAACAGTTTCAAACTTTGAGGCCAGAAAAAAACAAAGGCAAAAATTACTTGATTTTCAGAGCCTGAGTTTAGAGCTTTCTTACTGAAGACTCTTATTACCCTGTCACAGAATTGTTAGGCTGTAAGTTTGACTGCCATTCAGTACCACTCCTGCTTCAGGGGTAAACAGGACTGCAACTAGAAGTCTCTTATTGAACCTTTTTCTGAAATAGTGAACAGCTAGGGCTGTCTGCATTAACTGTGTATGTACAAAATAGTTTGAGTAACTTTTTCTCAATTTATTTGGCATAATGTTGACATGGATAAACATTCCTTTTCAACAAGTGTGTGTGTTGTCTTGTAGACTTTATCCTGTATGTTAGACAGAAATTTCTTCCATATTGTGGTAGAAGATGGTGCAGACAAAATAAAGGTTACTAGAGCAGTGTTAGGCTTTTCCAAATTTTGATGTTTAAAAATACAAATTCAAGGGTATTACTTCTATGTATTTAATAATATGCAAAGGGGAAACACTCTTCACAAATTACTAAGTAGACCTTCTTTTTGCTTATCAAACAATAGATTTTATTTTACTTACATAACATCTATACTAGCTGTGGAATTATGTTCCTCTACACAGTTTCTGTGTTTAGTGAGGGGTTAATTTTTTCCATGTTGTCATCCAGAGGTTCCAGTTTGGCTGTGGAGAGGTTTTCTTTTGTGCTGTCCATAATATTTGGCTCATCTGTCACTACCAAATCTTGCTAAGCAGCCACAGAAAGGCTTTCTTCAACACTATTAGAATCTGTAATTTGCTCACATGGTGGCTCAGGTGGTTGTTTCATGTCTATGTCCATGTCTTGTGTTTCACTATCAGCTTTCACCTTGGCAGCATTCCTGAAAACAGCTCTCATGACAACTGGGACTGACATGCAACTGAAGAAGGAAATGACACATTAGTCACTACTACAGACTTCATTCTGTAAAGTACTTCTGTTTTTAAACTGTGTTTGACACCAGAACAAAAAACAGCGCTATATCCTTGCTTCTTTTTGCCTTATGCAACCAGGTGTTCTGTTGTATTCACAATGTAAACTACACGTGCTGTACCAAAAACCTATGTTGGCACACTGAAATCCACTGCTGGATCTTTGAACTTAGTGAAGAAGCTTTGGTTGAAAGAGTGGGAGGGTTTGGTTAAAAAAAACAGTCATAAAGATGCTTCTAATGAAAAACTATACTAATGATATTGAAATATATTCATTCTTGCTGAGTTTTATAATTGTAACTTTCATGTTTTGTATAAGACAGTGACAGAGCATGTCTTTTCTAAAACACTATCTACGCTAGAGGAATTGTTTCCCCACTCTTAATAGAGTTACCTGGTTCCAAGAATAGTATCTAGTTTAAAATCAGGTTCAAAATTCAGCCTGTGTTGATCTTCTTGTCATCTAACAGATAATAGTTATATACCAGCTTATGCCAAATGACGTAGTGCTCTCAGTGCTTTCTCTAGTGTGTGTTCATGGATCACAGCAACTTGCCTCTGTTGGAATTTGTTTCAGAAAACAAACCAGTGTTGTGCAAATGCCATATACACCTCAGTTTCTGAAAGGAAGCACTGATTACCATTAGGTAGATGTGTAAAACACCCTTTGCATACTAGTAATGAGACTGTCATCAGCTGGAAGAGCATGTTTACAAAAGAGAAAAGCATCTTTATAAAAGGTAAAACTCTTCACTCCGAAGTGTTTCCCTGCTCCCACAATCTAAGAGAAACACTTCATCACTATTAATGTTTAAAATTTCTGAAAGAGATACTTAAGACACTGAAGTTATTCCCACTTTTGTATTATAACTTTTTACTAGGGTGAAGTTTTCCGATTGCCTAGTTTATGGCATTATGAATGCACACGATATTCTCATTAAATGGACATGTTCATTCCAACTGTTCTGAAATAAAACTACTTACCGCTTTAGAGCTCTTGCTATAAAGTCGTCACTAGAATTTAGAGTTGGATCTTGAGGATTTAAATGAAGGCGACATTGGACTTCTCTGGAGGTTGTAACATCAATTGTCACTAAGAAGGAACAGAACAGAAAAATGTTTGGTTTGAAATACTTACAAACATTGAAAACCAATTTTTCATTTTGATGCTTGAAGAGATGTAAGGCAAGCCAGTGGAAAGAGGTTTGCAGCAATGCATTTGCATAAAACTTGCTTTTCCATAATATATTTAAATCAGAAATAGTAGAAGTTACACTATATTAATTAACTGCAGGCCAAGACAAAACAGGGACTCGAATATTTTCATTTACTTTCTGTTTGATGCTGAGTACAAAACACCTTTTAGTAAGCAGTTTACATGAGTGTTACTATGTATTTTTCACGGGCTGCACACCATTGAGAGTGGCCCTTAGAATGTTTTTGTAACCAAGAAGCATAGTGCAAGAGCTGAGATAGAGCCAAGTCCCTTGTCAGCTCAGTAGAGAGGACAGAATCAATTATTCCACACATACCATAGGCTAAATTCTCTTTCACAGGATGAAGGAAAAAGACAGAAAAGCTGGTGTTCTTGTGTGGTACCACTTCAAAGTAAAGCAGTTCCGAATCATCTAGAAATAAAATTATTGTTTAGTGATATCCACCCATTGGACCTGGACTCTTTGGGGCTGAATCACATGCCAAAATTCTTAAAAAATACTGTATCAGTAGGATCTAATTATTCATTACTTTGACAACTTAGTTTATGCTTATAGGAGTGTCAGGCTTAGGAGATGGTAAAAACAATTCAACACAGTGTTAAGAATGTTTTATCATTTACAATATTCCACAAGTAAAGACAGCTTTGGCAAGGGAGCAGTAAAATCCTGCACCCAGCTTAGAAGCTAGTTTCTCTCTAATACTCTGCCATTACTCCAACCACAGCATTTACCTTCATTTCTATGCTTCTCAGAGACACAGCTGCTAATAAGAGTGTTATACGCCATTTGATGCCGAAGAATCTCTATTACAGCAGGCACACACTTTGGATGACTAAATGGGATTTTACTGACCAAGGCTCCCCATAAGTCTGATTTTTCTGAGCCCTTGTTTATGAAGTAACAGTTCTTTGGGCAATCTGGAAGAGACTGAGCAACAAATATGGTGACACTTCAGGCACTTGAAAGCAGTAAAGTAAAGCTTGATATTATCAGGCAACTCCACGATCTGACAATAATTTTTAAAGATACACTTCTAGCATGTCCATCATGTCTCTGTATTTCAGTAGAAATATAATCCTTAAAAGAAGCTAAATGAGACCCACTCTCCTTCTCACAAGCATCCAAATTAGGTAAATATACCCAGAGCCAAGTGGTCAGGAGTTCAACTGCCACCAATTCTTCCGACTCTTAATAGCCCTGTAGGCTATAGAAATGTTAGCAACCAAGATTAACTCTCAGAGTAATAAATATCATAGTAGTGCTGCTTGACAGTTGCATAAATACGATAGTGTTGCCCAAATCTCTTCTGGGCACCATATGTTGTTCCTCCCTCCACCATTACTACACTCATTGGAGAAGCATGTTTGGCTGGAATGTCTCCTGATGATTCATTTAAGTAGGAGATAGTAAGAAAAATTTGCCACCTGTCCATGTTGACAGTGATTCTATAATAAAGTTAGAAGTGCAATATCAGGATGCCAAATGGGAACTGTCACCTTGAAAACAGGGCAGGTCAGTTAATGAGCAGGGTCTACACTAAGAAAATCTGAAGAGTACAATAAGGGAACTTTTACTTGTGTGTTCATGCAGCAAAAGGATTTCCCTTACACTCATTTCAAGGTTAGAGTGCAATTTAGTAGTTTATTCTAGAAATAAAATCTTTAGACTCAGAAGTAAAACCATATCCCAGCAAGTACTAATATTTTAGGGAACTGTTGAAAAGTTACAGAGCCTTTCAGGTGCATCCTGAAAAATTAATTCCATTTTACAGGTTT